ATGCATTGGCGGCCCATGAAACCGCCGCCGAGATTTGAAATTGCCCGATCGTGCCGGTACAAAAATGGCCTTCGATGGGGGGCGCTGGAGGGCGGGGGGGGGGGGGGGGGGGGGGGGGGGGGGGGGGGGGGGGGGGGGGGGGGGGGACGATCCGCGGGATGTTGCCCCCGGCCTCCAGCCCGGAGGTGTCGGCTCGCCCTCCCACCGGAGCCGCGCAGCCTTGTGCTCCCCGTCCGCGGTGGGCAGTCGGCAGTTACCAGGCCCTCATACGGCGGCCCGAGTGCACGATGGCCGGGATGCCGCCCCACCGCCGGGGAACGCCGCGCGCCAACAGACGCACCCCCCCCCGGCCTCGGTCGCTCTTTGCCCGCTCCACTGGCATTGCTCGGGCAGCGGACCGCCCCTCCACACTCGTCTGCAATCTCTCTCGCCGGCGCCCTCCCGACCGAGGGGGCCCCCTCACCGGGGCTACCCTGAAATGCAGCCGGGCGCCGGCTTCCCAGCGAGCCATCGCTGTTCGGGAGAGCCGCCGCCGCTGCCGCCGCCGCCGCCGCCCCTCCCCCTCCCTCCCCCCCCCCCTCCCCCCTCCCCCTGACCCTCCCATCCCTCGCTGCGCCCCACTTCCTCGCCCTCCGTCACCGCGCGTTTCTTTTCCCGGCCCTTCTCCCCGATGGAGGTCGACTTCTCGGCCGGCCCCGGCCGGCAGCCGGCCTACAGCCTGGAGCAATTGGGGCAGATCGCCACGCGGCTGCTTGGACCGCCGGCCTCTCGGCCGCCAGCCGACCGGGACCCACCCCCAGAGCTCCAGCTGTACCTGATCCCGGCGGACCTGGGCACCCAGGCCCTTGTGGCCGAGCGCGGCTTCAAGCCCCTCATCCGGCTGGCCTCCTCGTGCGACCGGCGCTTGGCTCGGCTACATGCGCACCTGGGCTCCCGGTGGCGGCTGCAAGACCCCCTCGCGCCGGCCGAGGCCAAGCTCCTGCTCACCCCGGGCCAGCGCCCGCCGGATCCGGCCGCGCTGGAGCTGACCTTCCTTTCGGGGCTTCGCCACCTGGACGATGACCGCAAGCCGCCGGAGGTGGTCTGGTCGTCGAATGTCCAGGCCATGCTGCAGGCCGGCCGAGCGCCGCATGCCACTCTGCGCGACCTTCTCCAGGAGGGGCGGCTTTCTTGCTCGCGGCAGGGGGACACGGCGGTCTTCTTCCGCCTGTCCCTCGCGCCGGCCGACCCGGCGCCGAGCGAGGCCCCCACCAAGCGCCCTCGGCGCCCGGCCCAGGAACCGGCGCCGCCAGCCCGCCGCCGGCGCTTTAGCTTCAGTTCAGCCGCCTCGGACATTCCACCGACCGGCCCGCCGGGCGTGGCCCCGTCGCCGGCGGCCTTGCCCTCAGCCGCCTGCTCCCCGGTGCGGTCCTCCTCGCAGGCCACCGGCCAGGCTCTTGCTTCGCCGGTGGCAGATGCCCGGCCGCTCGATCGGCCGGCCTCTCCCCCGCCGCCGGCATGCGAGTCCTGGACCGCTCGGCCGCCACGCAGTCGCCCGCAAACCGCGGCCGGGCAGTCCCCGCCCCCGGCGGATCCGGCCAGCACGGCCGCCACACGCCCAGCCAGCTGCCCTGCCCAAGTGGCCGGCTCACTGGGCCCGGACACCCATGGGCCGGGCGCCCCCCCGGATTTGTCCTTCGACCTGGCCCCGGAGCCCTCGTCCCCGCTTTCCTCCTTCGAGCCATACGAGGAAGCCCCGCCCGCCGAGGGGGGGGACTTCCATTTCGACCCCGGGGCGGCGTTGGCCGCTTCCACCGCGGTCTCGGAGCTTTCCTTCGACCTGCCTTCCATCGGGGACTACTCCTTCCAGGAGCTGTCCACCGATTTGCTGCTCTCCTCCTCGCACTACTCGGACATCCCGTACCTGGACCCGGCCCCGGTGTCGCACTCCGCATCCAGTGCGGCCCTCTCCTTCGACTTTGCTCCATCACACCCGGCATCGGCCCACCTGGCGTCCCTCCTGCCGGACGATCCTTGGCACGCCCCCCTCAGTGCCGCCGAGCCCCAGCCCCGGGCCTCCGCCCTGCATGCTCTGCTGCCCTCGCCGGGGTCCTCCCCGCCGGCTGGCGCCCCGGGATCCTGGCTGCCAGACTCGCCACGCATCTCGCCGCAACGACTGCTCCCCTCCCTTGGGGACACTGCCCTGCCGGTGCCCGGCACACCCATGTCACAGCCCTCTGACGACCAGCACCGCGGGCCGGCACACCGCTCGTCGGCCCACTGGGAACGGCACCCGACAGTCGACGTTAGCTGGGACGATTCTTGATCCTGTGCGCCAGTGACGTGACACGTGACCGATCCCAGGCCCGGCCCCGCGCTCTTGTTCGCGGCCGTCGCACATGTCCTGCACACATGGGGGTTGGGGCCCCCCCCCCCCCCCCCCCCCCCCGCCCGCCCCACGCCGTTCCTCCCGCCCCGCTTTTGGGTGGCATGCTGCCACAAATACGGCTTGAGTCTTCACCGCGCCCTGGCCGGCCTGAACGAGAGGGGCCCAACTTGCCGAGGGTGTCAACGAGCAATAAATGCACATTTAGAAGAAAAAAATACATATACACACGCACCGGAGCGGCGGAGAGGGAGAGGGGGAGAGGGCCGCAGACTTTGGGCCCGGCTGCCTGGCGGCCGGCCCGCCAGCGCGCGCACACGGCACCCGGCCCCTAACTGCCACTGAACTGGACACCCGCGGCTCGTTGGACCCGGCCCCGAGGCGCAAACACCGCGTGCGGGCCGGGTTTTCCCACCGTGATGCTGGGGGGCCCATCACTTTCATCTTCGCCGGGCAACTGCCGTCTCGAATGCCCGGGGTTGACATCCCCCCCCCCCCTGCTGCCTGCGGGCCGGGTTTCTCTCCCGGCCCGCCAGGGACGGCGTGCGCCGGGCCCGGCCCTGGCATCCTGTCCCTCCGGCCGCGGGCGGGGCCTGGCCGGCGCGTGCACACACAGACCCCCCGGGAAGGCGCATGGCTCGCGGCGCGAGCACCCGCGCGTGTGCACGCGCGTGCGCGCGCGCGCCTTTGCCCCCTTCGCGCGCAATCTGCCCTGCCCGGCCGGGCCCTGCCCCGCCGGGCAAAAAGAGCCACCAGATCTCGTTCCCCGTCCGGGCGGCCCGGCGCCGGGATCACACTGCCACTCGCCGGTCTCGCCCCCCCCCCCCCCCCGCTGTTTTCTTTGCCTGCCTACATCTGCGTGTGTATCCCCCCTCTCCTTCGTCCCCCCCCCCTCCTCCCTCCTCTCTCCTTCCTTCTCCCTGCCCTCCCCTCCCCAAGCTCGCTCTCCCCTCTTGCCCTCCCCCCCCCCGGCCCTTCCGCTCCACGCCCCCCTCCGCCACATCCAGAGAGAGGGAGTACCATAGTGCGCCTTCGGGATCGTGTCAAGCGCCGCGCACACTTCGCTGCGCGCGCGATCTACTCGCTCCTCTCTACAGTCCTCTGCGCCAGACTCCTGCTGGATCTTTTCTTCGCATACATCACCCTGCCGGAGTTCGCCCTCTCGGACGAGCCTCACCACAGCTCCCCCCCCGGGCAGCCGGACATCCCGCTCCTCCCGGTGCACCGCCGCCACCTTCTCCCCTCCCCCCCTTCCCCCACGCCACCGCAGCACCACCAACAGCCCCCCCTCTCGTCCCTCCCTCCCCCATCCCAGGTGCCCCCTGTCGCCCCCGCCGCCATGTCCGTCTCGGCCCTGGCTGCTGCGCCTGCTAGCGCCACGGTCTCCCCGATCGCCGGCGAGCCCGGCAGCAAGCTCGACAACCTGCTGCAAAACAATGTCCTCCATGTGATGCGCCGGCACAACTTCGCCAAGGCCCTCATGCCGGACAGCCCGCCGAATTCGCACAACTACACCCCCATCAACCGGCCGGTGGCACCGCTGGCCGGCGGGGCCGAGGCCGGCGGGGCCGAGGCCTCCGGACCGGCCGGCCCCGACGCTTCCGGCCACCCGCTTGACCCGCCGGCCGCACTGGCTCCCTACTTTGTCCCCGGCCCCATTCGCTTTGGCCGACTGGATCAGCTGCTTGTTTGGAGCAAGAGCCACCGGATTGGCCCGGGCCTGTCGAACCTGGGCAACACCTGCTTCCTCAACAGTGTCCTCCAGTGCCTGTCCTACACGGCCCCGCTGGCGCAGCTGTTCCTCGACAATGCCACCCACCGGTCGGAGAATTGTCGCAACACGGCCTGCCTGGCGTGTGCCACGCGTGACCATCTGCGCCTGGTGTTCCTGCCGGCGGCCAGCATCCACGGCCGGCCGCTGGCCCCGCACCGGATCATCCGCCTGCTGAAGAGTATGTCGCCCGCCATGCGCGCCTCCACCCGGCATCGCTGGTCACGCCGGGTTTCTGACCTTCCTCCCCCCCC